TTCTAATTTTTATGCAATATTATTATTGGAAATAATGTTTGGGTACGAAATTATTAGCCTAATTGTATCTACCAAGCTAGCTAGCTAGTAGCCTAGCTAAGTGCAAGATTTGCAACAAATTTGTCTCAAATTCCCAACTGTTCATCACTTTAGTCAGTTTCCATCCTTTCACATTCACTTTGATCGTTATAAACTTCTAGAATCGAAAAAAATTCAAAAGTATAACGCATTTTCAGACTTGATTAGCTTTTACACATTTTGGTCAATCCATTTTAAGTCTTTGGTATTACGTGAACGTCTTGAACAAGTAAGGGCTCCTCCACTAACTCTAAGCATAGAAATTAGAGAAATCTAAATAAAACAAATCGATGAACACAAAAATATTTCGAATTCATAATTCATTGGAACAAAAGTGCCACATCATCATCATCATCGTGTTTATTTGTACACGCCCATTCGATTATTCAAAAACAAGACGAAGAAAGAAAAAAAAAACCAAATTAAAGGACTAAAACATATTTGATGATGAATGGAAATTTGGTTTATGCTTCAATTAATCTAAGAAGCAAATTCAATCTTGACACCGCCAATCTTGACAGCCCCATACTTGGGTATCAAAGTCACCACCACGCTCTCATCATCCTCGGCTTCAATGTCCTCCAACAAGTCCGTCAACCCCAACCTCAAGATCGTGTTGATCTTCTTCTTGTGCTTATGCCTGTGCGGCACGCTCACAAAGCTTCCGGCAAACTCCGTCTTGTCGGGCCCACTCGGCAAGTCGTCCACGTCATTCACATACACGTCAAACTTCACCGCCACGTCCCTGTCAAACTCAATCCCTTCGATCACCAATATCTCCTCCTCCTCCTCCTTCTCCTTCTTGTTCCTCTTCTTCTGCTTCGGCCTCGGCACCACCGTGCTTATCTTGGTCTCCAGATTTATTGGGAACGCCCTCCCCGCCACGATCTTGGTGGAGCTCTCAGCCGCGTGCGCAACTCCCAGCTTCTTCGCTATTTTGCTTATTGCCAGCTTTGCCCTTCGCGGGGTTGGCTTAGACTGCAGCCATGGAATGTCAACCTCTTGGTATACATACCCTAGTCTCTTAGACTCCAGAGAGTCACGAACTTTAACTCGGACTAACTCGGCGTTCTCGTTGTAAAACAAGAACCCGGAGTCTAACCAGTCCGACTCAGAAATATCAGTTCTTTTGCCTCCCAGTGTTTTCCATATGCTCCACATCCGATCCACATTCGAGTGATGCGAGAAAAATATGGGGTCCCTGGCAGCGGAATAAAAGTTCCCCATGTCCTCAAAATTGGGCTGGGTGTTGTCACCGGTCCAGAGATGAACCGGCCCGTGTGGGGTCGATTCGATCGAACCGGCACCCGGATCCGGCTCGTCACCGGCCCTGTAGGGGTTGCCAAAGAATAGCTGAGGGTTCTTGGCGTTGGACACCATTTGCCTGTACATGATCTTGAGGTTGGCGTTGATTTGGGTTTCGTTCGACACTTTTTCGTCGGTGCCGTTGTAGTCGAGATCGATGAGGGTCGGCGGCTGGTGGCTGGCGGCACGGAACTTGTCGTAGAGAGGGGACTTTGGGTTGGCGAAAAGAGCGGGCAGCTGCATGCCAGCTGGCGAGTCCCAGTTCCAAAAGGGCAAAGCGAATGTGGGGTCGTTGATGAGCTTGCCCAAGATCTTTTCGTAGAAGTATAGGTAGTAGCGGTGGAAGGGGAAGAAGAGCCAGGAGTTGTGGATTTGGAGCTCCAGGTCCGGGAACCCGGCTTGGTCGTAGGCGCCGTCGCAATAAGCGCAATGCACGTTGGCTTGTTGCTTGAAGCTGCGTGGATCGTCATCGGGGAGGGCTTTCATGAGCTCGATGGCTTTGGAGTATTTCTCTATGTAGGCTTGGTCAACGGCGTGAGCCGCCAGCCTGACGCGAAGTTGTCCTGGGGCGGGGAGTTTAAAGTCTATGATTTTGGTGGCCGGAGGTGGGCAGCAGTCGGTGGGGGTGGCCCCGGTTGGCAAGTCGGCAGCTCCACATTTAGATACGTCTGGTGGGGCCACGGGCTTGGCAAAGGCGAACGAGTCTGTGCCCAGACCAGCCACGCCATATAGACCTCCGAGACCAAGAAGCACATTTCTCCTATCTAGTTTAGTCTGTGCTTGATCATTTTGGTTATCACTGTTTTTGGCTTTGCATGAAACCCTTGGTGAAAAGGAACGCTTGGGGTTTGAGAGTAGGGAAACTTGGGAGCTGTTTTGAGTGAAGGGAGAGAGAGGTTTTGTGGAGGTAGTGGGAATGGCTGGTGGAGGTGACAGAGAAGCCATGGTTAGCTCTCTGGCTTAGTTGGGTTGGATGGTATAAACCCCAAAGGAGGGTTGCTTTTTATAGAGGATTTTGGGTTTTACTTTTCTATCCAATAGGCAATAGCCATGCAGACAGCCCGATCTAGTTGACGGAAAAGAATTATAAAATATGATCGCCAATCACTAACACCGCGTGGCGTGGGGGATAGATTTGAAAAATTACACAGAATCTTCTCTCCTTGGTAATTAAGCTGCTAATCGTAGTCCGAGGGGTTAGCTTTAATTATGTAATGGTAAACAACAGCGAGATCTAGAATGTGAATTGAACTTGTTTTTTTCTTCTTTTGTTAGCAAAAATGAGTTTATATTGGTTTTTGTCAAACGTCGGTGAGATTTTAGCCATGTGACAGGGGCCAGGTTCAAAGAATTCCTCCTATGCATACTGTTTTAAAAATTTTGTTTTATATTTCTGTTATGGGTTTTTCCAATTTTAAATTTTGTGAGTGGGGAGGTTTAGTTGTACCAAATCCATTAGGCAACTGGCTAAATAAACTAATGACTGACAGAAGAAAACTGTATCAGTGCAGTAGTGCTACAGATATTAATAATCCGTCGTCGATGAAAATGGTAGCTGAAAATGGTGGCCTTTAATCTCATCCCTGTTGAACTCATACATATAAATATAAAAAATACTCATGTGTATGTGTCAGGTGAGAAAATAGACAAACACATAGAAATATGCACTATTAGAGGAGAGATCATTATAAATAAAATAAAAAAAAGAATTGGTAAAAAGGAGATGATGATGATGACGAGGACGAGGACAAAGATAATGTGGCAAGAAGAGTAGTTAATTAGGGGACTGGTAAGAGGACATCAAATTGGAGAATAGTTTAATATTATATTACATAGATATGGGTGGCGTATGCACATAATTAAACCATTTTGAATTGGTACAGAAGATCTGAATTCGGATAACTTTCTTTAAATCACATGTGGGCGGCATCGAGCATGTTCTTGACTTGACGACTTTATGCTTTTGGGTTTCTCTCCCCCCACCTTCTCCTCTTGTTGGTTCCCCAATGTTGACGCTCCGGACATTTAAAAATAAAAAATAAAAACTCCCCACATAAAAAATTGATTTTAAAAAAAACCGAATTTAATTTTGGATCTGAAAGTAAATTAATTAATATTTGTTACCACGACTTCCTTTATTACAGCAAGTCTAAGAAAACCAATGGGACTCACTTTGCTTTGCAGATAAAACTTAAGAGGTTTAAAACAAAGACACACTGATTTGATTTGGTCAAAGTAGATTAAGTAACCTTTCGTACCAATCGTTGTCATAGAAACTTTGTTTTCAGATGGGAAGTGTTGACGAATCAACACATTGTTTTGGCCATTCAAACTTCAACTTTTCTTATTAATTGGCATTAGTCCAAAGATATTGATGAGCTATAATTCATTAGGTCAAAATGTTAGGCTATTGTACTTCAAATTTTCCTTCTTAATCACTTTTTAAATTTTACTTGTTAACTTATTAATGAAAACTAAATAGGATCCATTAATAAGGATTTTATATTAACCAATCCTTATTGACGAAGCTCCCGTCACTTCTCTTAACATACTATTTCTTAAGAGAATGGATGAGGAACAGTGAAATCACATCCGTAGTCTTTACATTGCAAAAATAATAGTATTTGTTGATGATTTTTTTAAAAAAGATTATGTGACTGACTTTGCGAAGATGATGTGTGTAAGTTTCCTTGCAAGGTTGGAATTTGGAACTGATAAGAACCTTGAAATTTAAAGAAAGAAGAAACAAAGACTCAGAGAAATCTATTTAACTATTATTAGTCTTTGCCCCAAAAACAATCCCAAAAGGCTTGATCATGCTAAAGTCAAAAAGGCTTAACGAAGAAGAAAGGAAAAAGTATTTGCTTTTTTAATTGAACCCTTTACCGGAAAATCTATATATAAAGGCTGCCGGGGTTGCTAATTGGGCCTTTTTAGAGAGACACCCACAGGTAGCCCATCTGACTTCTTTCTTGGCCGTGAAAATTCAATTATTTTTAGTGAGAACCCAAATTTACTATATTTATTTTAAAATGAAATGGGAAGTGTACTGCATGTACTAGCTCTTGAAAACTGTCGTACTACCACCATTAGCATATATAATACCCTTCCTTCCTCCATATATTATATCACAAGAAGCAGTCGCATGAATGATGAAGTTTACACTGCTCAGCTGAGGCTCAGCTCCCCCAAGCTAAGAGTAACTCTCTCTCTCTCTCTCTCGTCCTATCCTGATTGATTTAATAAATTTGTTTAACTTACTCATATGATTCATATTTTATTCTTTGTACAAAACATGCATTTGTAATCAATATATATATATATATATATATATGCATGTCAAGGTCAGTTCATCCATTATTTTGCACAGCTAAATACACAAATGAAATACACAACCCTTGTATGCCGACAGACTAGCAATTACTGCAAACAAACAAAAATTTGTGTAAACATCTACAGGGAATGAAAACACCAATCAGAAATGAATGATCTGACAAGTTTTGGACGTCTCTGCTTTCAGATCAGAACTAACTCTTCCTTCGCTGTCCCTTTCTCAACAATCAGAAATGTCTATTTGTGTAAACATCTACAGGGAATGAAAACAACACCACGTACGGTAGCATGTATTTGCTCTTCATTATACATAAAAAAAAACACACTCATGACCATATATATGTTTTATTCAGAAAAACAAACATCGACCCCCCCACACATAAGCAACAGTAGAGGGTTACGTTACGTGGGTCTCTCTCAGCAGTGGAGAAGTGACCTACTAAAACATACACTTAATGCACGAAAATACTTAATTAAATCATCATCATCATCACTTGATTTAATTTAATTTCATTTAGGTGGTATTAATAAGCGCGGTGCTGAAGCCACCAACTGTGACTTTCCCAACTTTAGGCACCAAAGTCACCACCACGCTACTGTCCGTTTCCGCATCCAATTCCTCCAGCAACTTTGTAATGCTCAGCCTCAGAGTTGTCGTTATATCCTTATTCCCTTTATGCGGCACATGGATGAAACTCCCCGCAAACTCCGACTTGTCCTTCCCGGCCAAAGACTCAGCATCATCATTCACATACACGTCGAACTTCACCGTCTCGTTCCCGGCATACTTAATCCCACTGATCACCAACACCTCATCCTGCGCCTTCTTCTGCGCACTCGTCCTCTTTGTAGTCGACGTCCTCGCCACCTCAACGCTGATTGTCTCCGTCAACGTCGCCGGGAAATTGGTTGTCAGATCTGCAGAGGAAACCTTCGCCTTTCTCTTGTTCGACGATTTACGGGCCGTCGGCTTATACGTCAGCCACGGAATCTCCACTTTGTCGTCGTAAACGTACCCCAGCTTGGTGGTGTCGAGGGAGTCTCGAACTTTCACGCGCACAAGATTCTTCTTCTCGTCGTAGAACAAGAACTCCGTGTCCAGCCAATCTTTTTTTTCTATGTCCGTACCGCCCAGTTTGGATTTATAAATGGACCACATGCGGTCCACGTTGGAGTGGTGCGCGTAAAACAGAGGATCCCGGCCTGCCGAGTAAAAGGCACCCATATCCTCTCCATTGGTCTGGGTCGGATCACCCGTCCACAAATGAATATTGTTATGCGGGATACTCTCGATGTTTCCGGCTCCAGGATTCGCATCGTCGCCTGCGCTGTACGGCTCCCCGTAGAAGAGCCGGTGAGATGTGGCTTTGGAGACCATCTGCTGGTACATGGTGGTTAGATTCTCCTTGATCCGCGTGGGGTCGTCAACGTCATCGTCGGTCCCACCATAATTGAGATCCAGGAGCTTCGGAGGCTGATGCGCTGCGTTTCGGTACTGGTCGTAGAGGGAGGAAGTGGTGTCGGTGAAAATCTCAGGAATGTACATGCCAGCTGGCGCGTCCCAATTCCAAAAGGGGAGGGCGAATGTGGGGTCGCCGATTACCTCCCCCATGATCTTCTCAAAGAAGTAGAGGTACCATCGGTGGAACGGGTAGAATAGCCAGCAAAAGTGGACTTGAATCTCCAGATCCGAATTCCCGACTTGCGGGTACCCGCCATCGCAATAAGAGCAGTGGACCATGGCTTGTTGGGCAAAGCTGCGCGGATCGTCATCGGGTAAGGCCCGCATGAGCGCGATGGCCTTTTTATATTTTGCCAAGTAGACAGGGTCTTTCGCTACATCTTGGGCTGCGAGCCTGGTTCGGAGTGGGCCCTTGTTGGGCAGCTTAAAATCAATAATGGTTGTGGTGGTGGGTGGGCAACAGTCGATAGTGGACCCGTCGGGCTTGTCAGCCGGGCCGCATTGGGTAAAGTCAGGGGCGGATATGGGTGCGGCAAAGGCAAACGGGTTGTTTTCAAGACCCGTCGCGACGTATAGACCTCCGGCTCCTAGACCAATCAGCATGTTCCTCCTGTCGAGTCTAGATAGACCCTGTTCAAGGTGATCATCGCCACCGTTTGTTGCTTTGCATCGCAGTCTGCCCGTGAGGCATTGTTTGGGGTTTCGGGGCAGTGAAGGTGTATGGGGCTTGTTTGGAAGGAAGGAAGGGAGAGAAGTGGTGGTGGTGGAGCGAAGGCCAGTGATCGTTTCAGCTAGAGGAGGTAAGGGAGAGGAAGCCATGGCTGAAGCTTAATTGGTTTGAATGAAGTCTTCACTGCAATTATGATGCGCAAGTGTGCTGCATTTTATAGTGGATATTTTTCGGGTCCACATTTCGATATTTGCGGGGGTGCCCTTGCAAAAGACGTTCTTTTTTCATTTCTTTTCTTTTGCAAAAGACACGTTTCTAAAGTATATTCGGTGATTTTTTTTATTTTCACTTTTACTGTTTTGAACTGTTCGGTAACAAATGCATAATAAATAATAATACACCTACTCCCCATTACATCAAACAGTGCGTAAAAAACAAAAACGTACTAAAGATAGAGAAGATATGATGCTTTACACGTTTTACATGTAATGGTTACTATTTACAAATATCATACATGTACGATCAGCATTCCGCTTAATCATACAGGTACATATACGTACGTATTCGTATTGCATTGCAAATATAAAGTTTTATATTTTGAGAAGAGAATAAATATTGCTAAAAATAGTCATGATAGATGGTGGTAGTAGAAGTGGTGAAATTATATCTTGAGAATAAAAATAATATCTATCAAAATCTCTGGGGGGAAGCAAAGATTTGTCATAGCCTAAAATTAGTCTATTATCAAACGAAATCCACCACTTTTTGTATTTCCTTTAAAATCAATGAGTTTTTGAATACAGCCAAACTTTTATGAAGTCTTTTAAAATCGTGATTGAATACATCCAAATTTGAATGGAGTTTAAAAAGTTTGAATTGAATACACCCAGAATTGAATAGACTTCTATAAAATCGTAATTGAATACACCTAAACTTTTAAACTTCTTTAAAATCTTTTAAAATCTAAAATAATTTAATTAAAATAATATAAGAGCGGATCCCACCTTGGCTTAGAGATCGTATTATCCATAATTCAGAGTGTGGTATGTGTGGTTTCTATCGGATTATCCATAATTCAGTGTGTGGTATTTGTGGTAATTTAAAATCGGATTATTAATTAAGCAGACCCTACTTCCTAAGAATGTGGTAGCAGTGTTGTGGTCCTTTTGCTAGTACTCTTGTTGTTTTTCTTTGCCTTGAGATGTTTGTTGAACATTAATTGATTCTCATCGTATCGTATATTATCAACCATTTCTAGTTAATAGTACGTACACTAGCTAGTTTGATTGTGTAAAAAACTCAAGGTGTACGTAATTGGCTTTTCAGTACACTAGAAAATTATTCCTGGATAATTCTAGCATTATTGATAAAAAGTTTTCACTCATCTCATGACTAAAATTTGATCGTGCGGACAAGTGCGACTCACGCTGGCATTTTCAACAAATAGTTTTTTTCACTTTCCTTTTGGATTCATTCATTGCTGACTTTAAATTCACTCATTCATTGCTGATCTACAGCACATGGCCACCTCTACAACCTTTGACATGGTAGCTGAAAATGGTGGCCTTAATCTCATCACTGTTTTAACTCATACATGATACATATAAATATAAAAATACTGCTTAAATACGATCGCTCGATTATTCTTAAAATTCTTTTACTCATGACGAAAAGTGTGCTTTGAAAGAGAGAGATTTAAGTGGTATTTGTGTAAATTTACTCATGTATATGTTTCTCTCCTTATGTAATGCGTCAGGTGGGAAAATAGACAAAGATATAAAGATGTGCACTATTAGAGATCATTAAGAGCATGTCCACCCCAAAAGGTTAAGGCAGGGCAAGAGCTGGCACTATTCACATGAATAGTGCCAATATTGCCATTTTTGGTTCCACCCCAAAAGGCTAAGGCAAGGGCAAATATTATTCATTGTACTTTATTTTCTATTTTTTTATACTTTAAACTATTAATTTTGATAAGCTTTTCAAATAATATTTTCGGTTGCCACGTGTCACTATTTATTATAAAATTTGCAAAGATGATGTGACCGACTTTGCAAAGATGATGCGTGTAAGTTTCCTTAAAATCGAAGTGCTTCCTGAAAAAGCACTTGGGAGTGCTTCCTGAAAAAGCACTTGGGAGTGCTTCTTGAAGAAGCACATTGCAAGTGCTTCTCCAGAAAGCACTTCTATGGCCCATAAGCACTTCTAAACTTTTCCGCCAAACGTCATTAGAAGCACTTTCAATTGTCAGAAAACACTTTTAACCCTTCCAAAAGCACTCCTAAACGAGTCCTTAGTCTTTGTCCCAAAAACAATCCCAAAACGCTTTGATCATGCTAAAGTCAAAAAGGCTTAACGAAGAAGAAAGGAAAAAGTAATTGCTTTTTTAATTGAACCCCTTTACTGGAAAAACTATATATAAAGGCTGTCGGGGTTGCTAATTAGGCCTCTTTAAAGAGACACCCATAGTTAGCCCATCTGACTTCTTTCTTGGCCGTGACAACATGTTCATGAAAACCTATTCAATTCAATTATTTTTAGTGAGAACCCAAATTTACTGTTCAATATTTATTGTAAAACGAAATGGGAAGTGTACTGCATGTACTAGCTCTTGAAAACTGTCGTACTACCACCATTAGCATATATAATACCCTTCCTCCTGTTAAGATTTAAATGTTTTATTTTATAATATTTATTGAAAGTTCTAGTCATTGGTAGTTTGACTGAGTCTTTAGGTGTTTAGTTATTTGATTTCGTGGCTGAGAAAGTGCATAGTGTCATCCTATTATATAGGAGTTGTGGAGAAATTATAGAATAGTACGGTATCACCACGTCAGTTGGTGATACTTCCATTCAAAATCTGCCACATGTCTATTTTATTTTTAAAAGTTAAAAACTAATTACAGCTGGATATGAAATTATACTTTTACCCTTTCAAATAAAATTTTTAAAAAAAATAAAAAAAGAACGAATTACCCAAACTATCTCCCTCTGCTGCCGCACCCTTCTCTTTCACTTTCTCTCTCTCTCTCTTCTTCCCTCCATCTCTCCATCCTCTCTCGATAACATATGAGAAAGCTTTAGACTTTTCAATTGAATATGACCTGGCCAAAAGCTGACTTGGGATCAATTGGAATATGCAGATCTCATTCTTCTAGATGAGAGAGAGAAACTGAGAGAGCGGGGGCGATGGCCAGGGGAGGCAAAGCTGAGTGCAGTGGTTGGTGTACAATATTCTAGTTTTTTAATTTTTTTTATTCTTTTTATTTTGAGGGAGATGAATAAATGGGCAAAATTTCGATGTGGAAATAAACAACAAATGTAAGATAAAGTAGTTGCTGGTACAGTAGAGAGAGATGGAGGATTAGAAACTCAGAGAGAGGGGACGGCGAGCAGGACTGGTAATTTCAGTCGGGTGGGAGTGGTGCAATCTTCTTCTTTGTGGTTTTTCTTTTATTAATTTTATTGTGAAGGGTAAAATTGGATGTGAAAGTCCAGTTGTATAAAATACTGTAGTTTTCTTTAAAAAGAGACAGGTGGCAGATTTTGAGTGGGAGTATCACTATCTGACGTGGTGATACTGTACCATTCTATAATTTCTCGGAGTTGTGGTTTAGTGCTAGGATGAAGTGTTCTGATGTAAAGCCTATTTATAGGCTCTTTTCTTTATCAATTATATATAGAGCTTTATAATTCCAATACGTCTCTTTTGTTTTTCCTTATCGTTGTATCAGTGGTATCAGAGCCCCCCACTGGGGCCTGGTTTGAAAAAGCAACAAGCTTTCATCTTGTAGCAACAAGACTCCATGGCGTCTGAAAACAACTTTGTGCAACCTGCGATTCCACGCTTTGATGGTCACTATGACCATTGGAGTATGCTAATGGAGAACTTTCTACGGTCAAAAGAGTATTGGCCGATCGTTGAATCTGGAATTCAAGCACCAGCAACAGATACAGTCTTGACAGATGTCCAGAAAACAGAGTTGGAAGGGAGAAAGCTCAAAGATTTGAAGGCAAAAAATTATCTTTTTCAGGCAATTGATCGTTCTATCTTGGAAACAATTCTTAGCAAAGAAACTTCCAAAGATATTTGGGATTCCATGAAGAAAAAATATCAAGGCTATGCTAGAGTGAAGCGTGCACAGCTTCAAGCTTTGCGAAGAGATTTTGAGACTCTACAAATGAAGGATGGGGAATCTGTCACCAGTTATTGTGCCAGGACTATGGAGATCAGCAAGAAAATGCGATTTCATGGTGAGAAGATGGGAGATGTCACCATTGTGGAAAAGATATTGCGTTCCCTGACACCAAAATTTGATTATGTTGTGTGTTCCATTGAAGAATCCAAAGATATAGATGCATTTTCTCTTGGTGAACTGCAAAGCTCCTTGCTGGTCCATGAACAGAAGATGAACCGAAGTTCAACTTCAGAGGAGCAAGCTTTAAAGGCTTCTATCTCTACTCATTTCTCAAACTTTAGAGGAAGGGGTAGAGGTAGAGGTAGAGGAAGGGGAGATCGAGATCAATATTTTGACAAATCAAAGGTAGAGTGCTTTAGATGTCATAAATTTGGACATTATCGTTCTGAATGTTATACTAAGCTGCCTGAAGACGAAGAAAAGGAAGCACAATCGAATTTTGCCGAAAAGAAGGAAGAGGAAACTTTGTTAATGGCTGTTCAAGCTAATCAGGAACCTGAGTCTGATGTTTGGTATGTGGATACGGGCTGCAGTAACCACATGTGTGGAAGTAAGTCTTCTTTTTCTTATTTAAATGAAGGCTTTCATTCTAAAGTAAGTTTTGGTGATTGTTCCACTGTGAAAGTGATGGGAAAGGGTAATATAGAGATAAGAACCAAGAATGGTTTTGTAGAAACAATTTCTAATGTCCTTTACGTTCCTGACTTGAAAAGTATTCTGTTGAGTGCTGGTCAATTACAAGAAAAGGGTTATGAAATCACTATTCAAAAGGGTGTTTGTGAGATTTATGATCCCACTAGAGGAGCCATTGCTGTTGTGCAAATGAGTTCAAACAGGTTGTTTCCATTGAAAATTACAAGTGTGCAATCTTGTTTGGTAGCTGAAGTAAAAGATCCTTCTTGGTTGTGGCATTTTCGTTATGGCCACTTGAGTTTTGGGGGATTGAAGACCCTCCAGCAGAAAAATATGGTGACAGGTCTTCCTCAGATTAGTATTCCTTCCCAAGTTT